CACCCTTTGTAACGGCGGTGGAAGCGCGGCGCGAAATTGAAGAGGCCACGGGCGGTATGGGGATGTCCTTCTCCTTGTCGCGAGCTGCTCTGAAAGACCCAAGGAGGCGGTCGGTGATGCTGTTTCGCTTACTGGAAGCTGGAGGATGGTCTCGATCGCGAGGCTCTCGAGGTACGCGAGGGGGCACACGACTTTCGCGACGCCTGTCTCTGTCGATATCTCGGTCTTTGGGTCTGTCTCTGTCTTTGCCATTGACAGGATCCCTATCCCTTCCGGTATCGTGGTCTCTGTCTCTTCCATTATCGCGGTCTTTTTCCCTTCCGTTGTCGCGTTCTCTATCTCTTGAACTATCCAGGTATCTGTCTCGGTCCCTGTCTCGGTCCCTGTCTCGATCTTTGTCTTGATCTCTGTCATGATCTCTGTCATGATCCCTGTCATAATCTCTGTCTCGATCTCGGTCACGATCTTTGTCCCTGTCCCTGTCCCTATCTCTCTCTCTGTCCCGTTCGTGATCACGGTCACGGTCGCGACTATTGTCACGTTCGATATCGCGATCAACATCACGATCGATATCTCGTTCTACGTCTCTGTCCACATCCCTGTCCACGTCTCGGTCGTGATCTCGGTCGTGGTCTCGTTCCCAGTCTCTTTCTCGATCTCTTTCGCGATCTCTAGCTCGGTCCCTCTCGCGATCCCTCTCGCGATCCCTCTCGCGGTCCTTCTCACGGTCTCTGGGTCGATCACGATCTGGCTCCGGGGAGCTTCCATCGCGGGAATCATGCGACGGGCTGCGGTTTGGCATCGTCGGTCAAGGCTACAGGCCTATAGCAAGAGCGCAGCAGGAGTCGCGGTGTAGCGCATACCAAAGTTGTTGTCGCGAAATCACCTCCTAGGTAATCACAGAGTTAAGAAATGATCAAAGCGTTAGGAAGTAATGAATATCATGTTGATGCCCGAGAATGGGTCGTCGTCAATGTGGTAGTCGGTCAAAGCCCCTCAGCTTTCGCGGCCTGGGTGCATAGCGATGTGATCTAATTGGTCCATTAAGCCGCACAAACAAAGACAACGTCATCCCAGCAACGGGGCTGAAATGGAGCTATGGGGGTACTAGAATATAATCAGTTGGTGCGAATTTCTAATTCTTCACCAATTTGCGTCTCATTCTGGCCGTCGTCCAGATCTACCGGTACTTTATAGGATCAAGAGCAACTTCCTCCAAACTATTAACAACTTTTTCCAAGGCAGAAAGTAAGCTCGTATACAATCAGTTCTAGTCAGTAAGTCGCTGTTTCTCGAATATTGTGCAGTCCATAAAAGGTAGGTACCGAGCGGCAATACCTACATGGAAGAACAGGTGCTTGAAATAGATACTCTGCACACCGCTGTATTCTTTATCCACTGCTTCCTTGAGGGTCCTTTCCCAAAAAGTTATAGCAAGACCCATGGTCACCAGTTGCTTTTTCTCGTCTCTCAATATACTTAGCGCGGAGTATTTGAACGTCTTTTGGACATTATCACGGGATTGCCGCTCACTCTTTCTTATATCTCGAAAGATATTCAGCAGATGTGACCACAATGTGACACGAGTACTCAGAACAAAAGCCAAAAAGATAGCGGCTAGGTCGGTCTCATCCGAGAGAAGCATCACAGCACTCTCAGTTTTGGAATCACCGAAACAAACATTGTACTCAAGTCCTTGGGACCATCACGCGTGATTATGGTCTCGGTGAATAAGATTCTGGCAAAGGAGCGACTCTGTGATATGTTAGCTTAATAGGTATGTTATGCGACGGATATGCCGGACATACTTGTCTGAGTAGATCAAATGTCGGCTGCAAAATTATCTGGCCAATTTCATCGAGCATTTCTTGAGTTATACAACCGACAGGCGAGTACACTCCAATTACTTTTGCGTTGTGGCCTGTCTTCCGCTCAAAAGTGCGTTTATGATCTTGACCTGCTGGCAGTGGTTGAAATATCTTACCGTCACTGAGCGTAAGGATTCCGATATTTTGGTCTCCCTCCATGTACTCCTCGATCATAGGCAAAGGAAATTCAAGCTATCCAGGATCGCTTGTACATAATGGCACTTTCTAGTTCTCCCCATCGCGAGGTCGTCTGTTTTGATGATAATTCCATGATTAACGTTTCGGCTATGAACCTGGGCCTTGTCTACTGAGTTGAAATTTTATTCATGATAATGTGGAAATGTGGTACTTGTTCATGAAGTCTTTTGCAAACATTTTGGGTCTATCAAACTCAGCAGCCTCTCGAGTCAGGACGAAGCATGGGATGCAAATTATGGAATTGTCGACTTTGGTACGTTTAGTAGTACCTACCCAACCGATCTTCTCGGAAGTACCTCTCTAAATGCACCAGTCTATTCATAAACACGCAGCTTCTATGACGGTCTTTTTACCCCACGTTGAATTTGGTAAGAGGAGAAGCTGAGGATGCTGGTTGAAAGTGACATACGCCAGACAAACGTCATCAACGAAACTGCTTATTTAAATCCCCAGCCCTGAGAAGAACCTAGTCGATTAACGAGCAAAAAGCCAAAATAATCGAATTTCATCTAAAGAACAACATGTCTGATAAGGGGTCAATTGGTCTGGCGCTATCTAAGAGGCAGCCTCTGCTCAAGGATAAGCCAGCTGTGGGCGACAACAATTCCCTCCTCCCAAAAGCGACCAAAACTCATCCTAAGGGCAGCAAGCACGATGAAAATGCAAACGTCTATTTCATAGGAACAGCTACAACCATAATTGAATGGCAAGACTTTCGTCTCCTCACTGATCCAAACTTCCTTCACGCGGGCGACCATGTTCATCTTGGGCCCGGGGTTACAGCCCAGCGAAAGACAGACCCAGCTGTTGAACTAGAAGAACTCCCATCGTTAGACGGAGTCCTTCTCTCACATTATCATGAGGATCATTTCGATCGATTGGTGGAGGACTCACTCAACAGGGACTTTCTGATCGTTACTACGCCACACGCGCATAAATGTCTGACTTCAAAGGACGACCCTTTTCGCAACGTTCAGGCGCTTGACTTCTTTGACCGTCTGGAACTCAAATCTGAAGACTCAAAGGAACCGCGTCGCCCAGTCGTCAAAGTCACCGGAATGCCCGGCAAACACGTCCCCCCGGGGCCCCTGGCCGTAGTGAACGACCTTCTTGGTGCCGTCCCGCCAACCAACGGCTGGATGCTTGAGTTGGGATACCACAATGATGGAGAAGATAAAATCCAGACTGGTTATCGGATTTACATCTCGGGAGATACTCTTCTCGTCGATGAGCTCAAGGACATTCCCAAGTGGCTGCAGGATGAGCACATCGACCTGATGCTGATACACTTGGGAGGAACCACGATTCCTGGGCCTTCGGCACCGCTGATCATGGTCACGATGGACGCGAAGCAAGGGATAGAGATGATCAAAATGATGGATCCGGATGTTACGATTCCTATTCATTTCGATGACTACGATGTGTTTTTGTCTCCTCGAAGTGACTTTGAGAAGGCTGTCAAAGAAGCTGGAATGGAGGATCGGGTAGTCCTCCTTGATAGAGGAGACAGATACCGGTTCGCTGTGAAGAGGAACTAACTGCACTGACTTTTAACGAGGTAATTAGTTGGAATATGAGTGCGGGAGCTAGGATCTTTCATTAACTGTGATGGCCACATGTCTAACAAGGCTATTCCTTTGTCAGTCTCACCTCAATTAATTATTTCCATCTAAATTCAGACACATTTCAACATCTGGAGTAATTCAGCTGAGTTTCTCAATCCTCGCCAAGACTACCTATGATTCAAGACTCATCCAAACGTATACACTCTTTTCTCAATTTACACAGTCTCATCTAAGATAAGCCCAAATTACCTAAATTCGTTCATCTCTTTAAATCCACGGGTAACTGGTCTAGCTTTAAGATCAATGGGTTATGCAGCCCTCGCAGGTCTAAGCCCTTAAATATTGTTCTTTACTAAATCAAGCCACCACAGTGGCAATTGTAAAAGTGATTGGAGGCAGCTTGTGCCTCGCCCCCCTGAGATAATGCTTTTCAAGTTTGTGCTAATATTTGAACATCGGTACTTTATATACTTAAATGAACGTGGATTCCTCGTTCATTGGTGGCATTATGACCCATGGGCCCTTCGAGCAGGTAATGGAGGTGGAACAGATTGAACAAGAAATATGCTACGTGTTGTGGTATCACAGTCTGTGTCGAACAATGTCAACTTATCTTGCTTCGACAGAGATGGGCGGACCTCTATTATGTAATTACTGCAGCCTCTACTATGAATCTGTGGTGAGGCTCCTGCTCCATGGAGGTTGAACAAGTGACTACGAGAAAGGTTATGGCCTGAGGAGCTGTGTATTGGCTCAAGGAAGGCTACCTGACGATGTCGGGGGTTAAGGGTGATTGCAAACCAGAAGCAGGAAGAAAGGTAGCGATCAAGTGGGCACCGGAAAACAGCAGGTAGGGAACAATCAGACTGATACATCGACGACACGTTGTTTATCCCATTGTTCGGATGCCACAAGACTAGGTCAGCTCGCCAATTATGTCGAGCTATCAGACCTCGCCAAACCTTCCCTGCAATGGCGACACTTAAGACAATCATGCTCGTCGACGCTGTTTGTTCGATTGGGGGTGGTTTGTGGCATAGGAACCGGCTGGAACATCGGACTCCTTGTTTCCCTAATACCTCTGGCATAGATGGAAACCCATAAGGGCAGTAGAACAAAAAGAGCCTGTGTATTGTAATATACCCTGTGATGTCGTCGCTAGGTTCTTACCTTTTAATTGTCTTCTCAGAACTAAGGTTAATCTGTGACGAATGAGTAGCCAGGATCCAACAGCTCCACACGGGACAAGACGTGGGATCCTGAAGAGTGCCTACCCATTTTGGGTAGTGGCGAGAGATCGAGACTCCACGCGTGAAAAAACGTCATAGTGCAAAAGTAATTCTCGTTACTCAACAACAACAACATCTACGGTTGAATGGTCTAGTGGTTATGACGACTGCTTCACAAGGATACTTGTCATCGCAGTAGGCCCCGGGTTCGACCCCCGGTTCGACCTATATTTTTGATTTTTGTCTCTCTGCGAGCGAGGTATTTGCGTATCACGGCCTGAAGACTTGCCCCTTCATTCTAGAAAATCATACCCGCGGACGCACCTACAGTTGGTAGCATTTATTCCTTTTCATTGATTTGCACCCCCGGGACTTGCCGTAAACCACTTATCCATCCATTCTCATCTTTATCTCACTAGGAATCATATGTACATCAACCCCCCGGTCATATTTGCTAGCTCAGAGCCGTGAGGTAAGGGTCACTGGCGATGACTCGCAAAAGAAAGCATCTTCTCTTTTCTCTTCACATCGTTTTCGTCTTTCACCTTTCTTACCATAGACCCATTGTTCACCATCTGTGCGACTTTTCCTTCGAGTTCTGCGCATCTGTACCCTTTCGCATCATCAACCCGATCACAGGTAACTTTGACCTTCCTCATATGAATACACCTTGCTAATAAGGAATACAGGTAAGGCAAACACTCATCTCGGGGATTTCAGGCAGTTAAATCGGCAGAACGCCTGGTATGCGTTAGATACCAACGTTTCCAAATCGTTGCAGAGATTCCGAGCGATAAACATGGCGAACAGCAGTCCTTCTACTCCCAAGCTTCGGATGGCGAGTCTCACTCCCAGCGGTGCATCGAGCCCTCGGCCTTAGGTGTTAAGTATCGATTCTGGCAAGATATCAACGCCATAGCTTCTACCCCAGGAGATATCGCCCTCATCTTCTTCAGCAGAAATACAAGTTACACCCTTGACTGCACCTCTACCCCTGCCTGTACCTCCGTATGTCATCGAAGGTCAAATCTCTTGCCCTCTTTGTGATAATCTTGTTGCTGGAACAAACTTTAGCGCTCGCTTTGCAGATGCTGTCACTCAAACTCAATCGATATCAGCCGTTTCAAAAAAAAAAAAAAAAAAGGCTCCCACTTGTCCAACCAACTGAGTACTATACCTCCTCAGCTCAATACATATTTGTCATTAATAGTCGATATCGATCTGACGGTCCATAACGGAGTTGAGACTAAGTGTGGGACGTCGAAGGAAGTCTACCCCTGCCTGCACCTCTGCATATCATGGAAGCAGCTAGATCCTCGCAATAGGGAGAATTATCCCATCATCAAGTCTACTAGGTCTCGAGACCCCCGAATTGACGACTGCGACATCGACCCTGCGACCGGGCAGCTCATGCCCCTGGTCCGTTATATCAAGATTCAAAGGGATACCATTGACGAGCACTGCCATGACAGAACCGACCCCAACTGGAGTCGACTGCATAACACCTCCGAATATGCAATTTCCAGCGAGATTGCGCGCTGAGGGGACATTAAGCAACAGATCGAACGAAAAGTGCAGGGAGACTAAATCGTCCCGTCTCTGCAGGAAGAGGAATGGCCCAAGGCATCTTGCACCCTTCGACCTGTGGAATCCGGGCCTTAGCCCTCGGAAGACCTGATCTTCGCCGGACTTACAGACAACTTTAGAATTGACATGGCTGATCGAGATGAGGAACGAGGAGGACGTCCTCCAGCGTTTCAATAATATGCGAACACAGTTCAAGGCGTGGCCTATTGCCCCCATTCCAGGCCTTACAAGCAACTTCAGAATTGACAGAGATCAGCATTCGGCTACCCGATGGCACGTATTCTCTTGTCAACTCACCGGCAACCCGTATCAGCAACCCTTACGAGGATGCCGATAGCCTCTCTTGTGAGAGGGTTATGAAATGCGCTTGTTTTAATATCAAAACAAATAGACCCTGGAAGAATTCTGACGCCGAATACGGCTTTAATGCAGATGGCATTTGTGCTGAATGGCTTGCTGATATACAGCGGGAGTATGTATTAGTAGTAGTTATTAGTTCTTTGCAAATAACGAACCAAATGTTCTTTAAATTATTTATTGTCCAATAGCTTATCACCTCTTTTACTTGCTTTTTACGATGAGCGCAATAGTGTGATTGAAGCGTCCTAACTGACAGTGAATTTTACTTGCTTTTCACATTAAATGCAACAGTACGATCAAAGCGTAATAATTAACAGTAAAATCCTTTGGGTGCGGTTTAGAATTCATGCCTTATTTCCAAGTGTTAAACCCTTTTGCTTTACTTCCATATCTTGGTTATGCCTTGTCGTATCCGCCTATTAGACGCCTCGTTAATGCATCTCATATATACAATCCAGCTTGTCCATTCTCCGAAAGGCATCCATGCCATTCCTCTCACTCTCCGAGGATGCTGTGGTCATCTTAACATCCGCCCCAATTTCTTTTCTTTTTCTTAGTCGTCTTCGTCTTGGTTCGTCATGTCCTTGAACATTTAATCCACGCTGCGCTCGTCTTGCTTCATCATATAATCATCCATAGGATATCCGATCTGTAGGTGTGGTGAAGACCACTGGCTGGGAGGCGGATAACAAAATGATGGAATTTGGGGATGCCAATCGCGGGTCGGTAGTATAGCACGTCTTGGAGCTGTAGGCGGCGGGCCGTAACCACAAGATTCATATGTAGAGTGAAAAGTAATTGATATAACCATGCTGGTTAGAGGATCGTTGGAGAGCTTGTACCCTATGGAAAGGTGTGTGCAAATGAGAGAAGTGGTCACCTTAAGAATGCATATCAGGATACAAGAAGGCGGGTAGGCTCATTGATTTAGCGGCTGGGCAAATCCAGAAGTTCTGTGTTCGCCTATCATCATCTTCATGGGCAACCATGCCTTTCTACCAGATGTGTAGAGATATAGAATACCGTATTGGAGCGTGTTTCGTTTGTTCAGAGTCGGTGTGTTTCTGACCTGAAAGTACTTTCCAGTGATTGTGGAAGGGAATCTTCTCTTTTTCGATTTCATGTTGGCGGCGGATCTTGAAGGACGAGAAATGTATTATTCGACAACCTCGTCATAAAGGAAAAATCTTCCAGCTGAATATGGTCGATGCAGGACGTCTTTGCCCAGCGTCTTCAAAAGAAGGACTTCGTGAGAACCAAGCTCAGGCTTAGATGCAGTACTGAGGGTTGAGCGGAATTTTGTCCACGTATCCACCTGGAGTGTCCTTATAAGCAGGACCTCCCTGGGATGTCACGCTTCTTGGCTGTCTTCATAAGAGACTTCTGGAAATACTGGAATTCGCCTCGGTAGGCCCTAGCTTCCCTGCCTGAATGGTCGGGCTGAAGGTCCTCGCGGAAGGAAGGTGCCGAGGGAGGGATCGTCATCAACATCTTGACTGTGATCCAAGTCAGCTTTGTTGATCGAAGGTTGGTTAGGGTTACTTACTTGTGAGTATGTCGCTTGTATTCCAACCTCTTGAATTGCAAGCTGATGTTTAGAGCTGAAGCTTGAAGCCTAAGTCCTTGACTTATAGGCTTGGTAAGTTCATTGATCGCGACGGCCGCCGCTGCGAGAGGGAGAGGAGGGAGACATTCTCCACCGCCACCGCGGCGGTGGTGCTGTACCTGCAGTCTACTTGTCGGCAATAGTAGCAGGCCCAGTGACAGCAAGCTCGAGCTTAGGAGTCTCCGGCTCGGTGATGCCAGACTCGCTCGCGGCGGGCTCGATAGTGCTGGCCTCAGTGAACTCAGGCTTGGGGAAAGCAGGTTAAGTGAGATTAGGCTTACTAGTCGCGGACTCGGTGATGTTAGACTTGACGATATGTTAAGTATTAACCTTGGGCGAAGCATCGTGGCCAATACGCTTAAACTCCGTGCCGGTAATAGTCGAGGATTTAGCTACCTAGGCCTTTAGTGTGGTAGGGATAGCCTGACTTGTTGCTCCAAAGTTTGGTAAGCTAGGCGGCATGCTTCTCCAACTCGGACTTTCCGACAGCGGGTCACTAAAAGAGGATAGATTTAAAGATTTCTTGGCCGTTTTGACGATTGCTAACGGTGTCTTCGCGAATAGTGCAACTGGCACAACGGAGCTTGGGGATATCTGCGAGGTCGATCCCGGGTTCCTTCCTCGAGCTGTCCGTGGGTGTCGGTAGTGCAGGTAGACTCAGTCGTCGCTTAAGCAGGTCGAATTCCAGAGCGGATTTCGCGACTTTGTTCTTCTCAGCCTTAACGCATTACTGAAGGTAATGTCGCTCGGAAGAAATAACCGACACCTGCTCCTCTAAGCATGATACCTTACCTAGTCTTAAGCCGTTTAAGTTCCTTATTTGTTAGAGCGTGATTAGTTGCAGTCTAAGCCTGCATGGGGGATACTACTCGAACTGTTAGTGGATATTAATAACACAGATGGATCTGACAGTATTAATGATATCGCTAATGTCCGGAGTATTAATGGCATTTATTGAGTTAATGTCCTGAAGGGGAGCGGGTTAAATAAGCCTTTAAACATTGTGGATTTCTTACTAAAGATTTAAGGTGAGCGCGAGTATACAAGCGTACTATGTCGTGTAAATCCTGGTTGGTCGACCTATAAGTAGCAGCTGCGGCTATAGCGAGCAAGACTGCGTTATGCTAATTTTCATGGAGAATCTGCTTAATAAACTTAGTGGTAAATTTATAAAGACCACTGATCTTATAATACAGGCCGACGGCGTTGACATTGATGTGACAGAGCAGGAGGTTGTGGACATGCTCCTTGGGGCGCGGAGAATCGATCCGATAAACTTGATACCAGCTTTCCTCTCCTCGATGCCAGTTAATCATTGAGATTCATACCGCTTGATCAGCTGATTCGTCTCCGCCCTGATAGCTCGCTGCAGTCTATCACACTCGGTCAACAAAGCTTCTGTCTGCCTGCGCTTCTCGGCTTCGGGGTCCTAGTTCGCAGATGGCAGCTTGCTCTTCCCCTTCTCACACGCCGTTCGGGCGGGCATGCACTAAAGCGAGCGCCGTGAGCTTCTCTTCTGCGACTAAGAGGCCATCTGCTGCTTTAAACTTCATCAAGTTCGCCTATGGTGAACCCGGGGATGGCGACAATAAAGGGTCGACGCCTCTGCAGGCAGGCAGGCATTGTAGTGGCCAGGCTCGACCCTGGGCAGAAAAACCTATGACTCGGGTCCTT